CCCAACTAAAATCGCCTTTGAAAGGGAAGAGATTTCAGACCTGAATCTATGAGATTCAGGAAAATACAATGGGGCAGCTGATGGCAATTGGGAGAACTGCGTGAGGTCCCCAGATGCCTGCTTTCAAGGGGACTGAGGAGGCATCATTGTCCTATGTACAATGCTTCTTGTATCTGTTATCTTCTTCAACAAATGTCTCTGTATTTCCTATTACATAGCTGGATATCTTCTGGACAGACTTTATATATTTAAATTCCCCCCATGGGCTGGGCAATAAAGATACACAGAGAGCAAATCCCTGAGTCCCTGTTCCACATGAATCCTAGAGTCTATGGGAGAGGCAAGGATTAAACAAAGCTCCCCGTGAGCAATTACAGACTTATTTATACGTGGCACTTTCAGTGCTATGGAGTTCTGCAACATACTTTGAGCACATATGGGGCTGAGGGCAGGAGGAACAGATTTAGTAGGAGAATCAGCAAAGGCCCGTCTGTTGACACTGGAAGGATAAATAGGAATGACTCAGGCAGAGAGAAGATGAAGAGTTGTTTAGGCAGAAGAAATAAAGTAAAGGGCCTGGTGTGTTTGAGGATCTGGTGGGGAGCAAGGCTGGAGAGGCAGACTAGGGTGGGATCACAGACAGCCTTCTAAGTCTCCGTAAGGATTTGAAGTTTTATCCTCAATGCCAGGAAGAGCCAGTGCGGGCCTCCTTTCCTCCCTTCAGCCCTTGCAGGGGAGTGATACGGTCCAGTGGCCTTTCAAGAAGCTCCTGGGCTAGCTGTGTGGAGTAACTGTTAGTAATTACTTAGCGCACAGACCTCCAGCAGCCGTGGGGCCTCTGCCAGGCTGGCCTGGCACGATCCGCTGAGACCACAGGCAACACTCGGGCCGACTCGGCAGCAACAGGAGAGGCCTTGACTGTGTTTTGATAGAGTTTCACTGAATTTGCCAAAGCTTTGTCACATATTTTCTCAGGTACTTGACATGCCAAGGACAGGCAAGGACTCGTTGGGGGTGGGCGTTGGGGAGAGAGAGAACAGATGAGAGAGCAACACAGGTAATGAGGCTGCCTGGGACTGGCACTGGCCCAGGTTGCTGCTGATGGGACCCAGGAAAAGGTGACAGTTCTGGGCACTCACTGTCCACCGGCAGTCAATGTTGCAGATTCATATTCTTGACAACCAGGCAGGCCAACAACACGTGCAGAATGCAGACTCACTGGCCTAGAATGTCCTGCAGCTCCTCTCAGCACTGGGAGAACTCACCTGCCTGTCTCAGCCATCAGCCCCCAAACCCCTCCTCCAAGGCAAGACAAGAAACCAGGGATCAGGACAGACACAGTTCTTGCGTATCGTTAAAGAAACATAAACTGCAATATTGTTCTCCCCCATAAGGAACAATCGATATATATGGAAATGAATAATTTTCTATGCAGCTACAAATCTGCTTTTCTTCTGAACAACAAACAATCCGTCAGCTGTTCTTGCAACACAAAAGCTGACCAAACTTTAGGTAAGACAATCATTTGTGAACTTACAGGGAAGAATTTCAGACTGAATTGGCCATCATACCCTTTCATCTCTCATCTGGGCCAAGGCTAACAGATTTCCTTCCGTAAGTCAATCTATGTCGGCCCGTGGGTCCGTCCCTGCCCAGACAGGGCACACGGCATCTAGCAATGTCTCTCTGTTTGGGAACAAGGCTCTTTCACCTCTAATTTAGAGATTAATTGAGTTCAATTTCTTCACTTTATTTCTTCTGCCATTTTCATAAGGAAATATCAGAACTAATTCTTTTCCTCAAAGGAAAGTGACTCTACTTTGGGTGGGAAGGTGTATGGGGTACTACGCTGTTTTAACTTCTTCAGGGGCCCAGACGCCCTTGGGCTCCTCCTTGCTTGCTCTGTAAGGTAGTTGCTACAGCATGTTCTACCTGATTCTGCGAGCCCAGGGCAGTTTGGTGGTGGGACGGGGGCCAGGGGGCAGAGATGGGAACTCCAGCTCTGACTCTGTCCTTACACAGTGTTTTCCAGACAACACTGCCCAACTTTTTTTCAGATGCTTAAGTTCAATCGTATAACTTCCCCTCTCTGTTTCTGTTCTCTCATTATCCAATGAGGGGCTGCACTTACTCATCACTTAGGCCCTCTTTAGCTTTAATTATTTTCTGATATCCTGAAGAAATATATACATTCTCAGCTGTTTGACTTATTCAGTTTGGTATTCCTATAGAAACACAAGTCCTACATATGAGAAAGCAGAAATATGTCCTCAGTGATTCTGAATGTTGGAAGCCCTAATCCCTAAAGTGATGGCACTTGGAGGTGGGGCTTTGGGGAAGTAATTAGGGTTAGATGAGGCCATGCGGGTGGGTCCCTCATAATGAGATTAGTGTTCTTATAAGAAGAGGCACCAGAGAGGTTGCACACTCTCTCTTTCCCTTCCTCCTTCCCTCCCTCCCTCCCTCCCTCCCCAAGGACACTTGCAGAAAGGCCACTCAAGAGCACAGCTAGAAAGCCTTCACCTACAATAGGCAGGAAGAAAGCTCCCACCAGAAAGTAAACTGGCCCATGCCTTGCTTGGACTTCCAGCCTCCAAACTGTGAGAAGTAAATTTCTGTTATTAAGGGCACACAGTCCATGGTACTTTGTCCTGGCAGCCAGAGCAAACTAGAACAGCAAGCATTCTCCAGGACTGTCATGGTGCCCGAGCCCTGGATGTTTTCGTGCTGAAAGAAGACCACCCTCATGGAGTCAGAGCAGTGTAAATGTGCCATGAAATAAGGAAAAGCAGAGGTTTTCATGTTTAATTTAACATTAAGGTTTGGTGTTGATTGTTCAAGTGAAGATAACCAGTACTGCTCCATGATTTCCCACATGGATGTTTTGTTAGGAGTGGGGATTGCCTGAACTAGACTATAAAGCACTTCATGGAAGTACTCAGAAGGCAGCCATGGGAAATCAGTGACCCACCTCCAATCATCTTTGGAGTAGGAAGAGTAGGAGTTATAAAACTATATTTGTTAGAATTACACAAGAAAATGAGTGTCCTCTGTTCAAAATCAATTCCTGAAACATGTCATTTCAACACTGGAATAATTTCCATGGTACAACTTTTAGCTCTACTGGAAATGACAATACAAGTGTCACTCTGAACATCATACATTTTAAGTGGCATATGTGTGTTCCCATCCTTTCAGAACCAGCTCAAATGTCTTATCCTCTGTGACTTTTCTAAATGTCATTTGAAAATGACATTTGTGTATTTTTACATTCCATAGTCCCCATACAGAATGTATTCATCTTCCCTCAGGGCTTTCACTGCAACTTGCTTTGACTTCTATAAGGCATTTATCACATCATAGTACAAAAAGATGGTGTCCTTTCTGTCCTGCTAGATAGTGAACTCTCTGAGGGGAAGGCCATGGACATTCAATAGAAGCTCGAATGAATGAACAAATGAATGAATGAATGCTCCTTTGACTGTGACTCATTCCTCATTTACCCCAGACTTCCAAAGACTTTGATTCAGCTACTAGACTGAGGTTCTCTCTCCCTCCATCTGCTCATCTATTATAGATGCTATGAACAATAGTAAAAACTGTCATCTTCATCCTGAGATTGTTGGCACTTCACAGCCGCCAAAAGTCCACCATAGGAACATGGACTGTCACGCGACCCTAATTTGAGAGGACCACCCTCATGCTTACCAGGGAATGACTCTTTTATAGTTTATGGTCTTGACCAACTGCTTTTTAAATAAAAGAAAACCAATTATTCTGATAACAACCCAAATGTTAAATTGTGTTAAATCATGAACAAACTCTTTTTCAGGATAGATTCTGGGCAGAACTTTCCATCAGCTACTGAATCTATTATGTGGCAGTATGAAGGAGAAGCAGTTTTACCCCCAAGTGCTTGAATGCCCCTTATATATATTTTCTCCTTTCTTCTGTGCTAGAATCCAGCCCAGGTTTTATTCCTTACTAATATTGATCATGGTTGGCCATATGCTATATGCTACCCCCAAAGAAATCTCCTCAAGGTATGGAGGCTTAAATAGTCAAAGACGAATGAGGCAGCAGGCATAGGGGTACGTCACGGTAGAACGGCACAGAGCGGGTCTGGCTTTTTAAGCAGGGTTCCAGACCTCACCTAACGCCAGGTAGGTAGTCATCCTTGAGGCAACTATGATGGATATGACCATACTGAGGGGTATGTAGAAAAGACTGCAGAGATTCTGGAGTGTTTTTTAATGAAGTTCTTCATTAATTTTTCCTACCTCTCTTCTCCTTCCTTCCTTTTTTCTCCTTCTTTCCTTCCTTCCTTTCTTTTTTCCTTCCACAAGTATTTATTGTTTCCTATGACTTAGGCACTGCCCCAGGCTTGGGGAAAAAAACAGCAGTGACTAAAACCAGGTGCCTGCACCCCATGGAGCTTACATTCTCGTAGAAGAAAGAGATTATAAATAAGTAAATAAATAATTTGTAATTTCAGAAATAAAGTAGTTTATGAAAAATAAAAGGGAGCAAAGAATATCTACTAGGGGGCAGTTCTTAATAAAATAAACACAGAATTACTATATGATCCTCCACTTCCACTTCTGTGTATGTATCCCCAAAACAATTGATAGCAGGGCCTCAAACAGATATTTGTACACTCATGGCCCTCAGCAGTCCAAGTTCCCAGTCAGTCCCCCAGAAAGTCTCACTTTTTATGGGCATGCTTTGAAGCAAGCAGGAGACAAGATTAGTTCTTTGCATGGATTTACTGGACTTGCTTTGACGGATCCACTAATTGCTCTTACTGAGCCTCCAGGCTGGTTTCTCCTGATAGCCACGGAGGAAGGGGAGAGCAATTAGTGGGAAGAAACCTATTCAAGAGTCACCTTGTAATTGAAGAGGTACCATGCAAAATGAGTAAGACTCGTGGAAGTGCTGTAAAACAGCCTTTCTTTTCGGGTTTCCACACATTAACCACCTTTGTACTGGCTCTTCCACAGGACTGAGGGTACAGAGCGTGCCTACATCAGCCCCCTTGCCTGCTTCTTTTCCTGAAAAGATTATCTCGCCAACGGCCTTCTGGACGAGCTCTCCACATAGCCCTTCCGCCTCTCCCACAAGTGGCACACCCAGCAACTCGGTGCTCCCAGTTACAGTGTCATCAGAGCAGACATCTCTACCCCCTAAGAATGTTTCTGAGGACCCCAGAGAACAGGAGACCACCTTGACGTGGGAGGGCACAAGCAGAGACCCATTATCAACGAGCGGCGGGGTCCACTTAACACCCACGCCCACGGAACACAGCTCAAGCACTCCAGAGGCAACCGTGCCAGCTACAGAGTCACGGTCCCCCAATGAGTCTCCTGCACTCACCTCCCCTCGGGCTCCGGCCTCATCACCTCCAACCCTATCAACTTCACCAGCAGCGGTTTCCTCTGTCTCTGACAGCACCGATGAGAGCTCCACTGAGCCCAGCACTGCGAGCACAGGAGCCTCAACCACTCCGGAGTCCCCAGCACAGGAGTACAGCTCTAGCCACACCCCCACTTCACATGCCACCTCGGAGCTGGTGCCCGTGGAGACAACGCCCCAAACAACTGTGCCAGCCAAAGTGACCTGTATTCTGGTAGATGTAGAGACCACCACCGCCTCCCCCAGAGTGGTCGTGCAGGAAGTGGAACATGCACTGAGTTCAGGTGAGTCTCCGTCTACAACACGACTCGCATTCTTGATGATGTGGAGACGTTAAGAAAGTAGTTGAGTTCACTGATCACAATCGATCAACTTTGAATTTTAGAGTGTAAAATCTGAGCTAAAGTATAATTCACAAGAATTTCCACAGGAGTGCAAACTTTACTTATAGTCACATAGTAATTTCCACATGATATCTCATTCATTGTGGCTAATTGGCAACTCTATGATTTGTCTTTACATATGTCACAGGGAATGTAAATGAATTAAGACCATGTAAGTATAAAAAGATTAATAGTATGGCTTTTAGTTCAGCTTCCTAGGTTCTGATTCTGGATCCTGATTCTGGGCAAGTTACTTCATCTCTTTGTGCTCTTATTCGTCCTTGTCTGTAAAAGGGGAGTAACAGGTTCTACGGCATGTGGTTCATGTGGAGATTAAACGCAATGACACATAAAGTGCTTAGAAGAGTTCCTCACGGGGTTAAGTGCTCAGGAGATGGCAGTTGTTATTATAATTTTGCTCAGTGGATTAACAAACTCTTTGTGGAAACCAGCCAAAAAAGTAGGGTGGAGGTATTGAGAACTTAATTATTCCTATAGTCATTGATCTATTTCATGGGAAAGACAAAAAATTTTACAGGGCATCACAACTGTTTTTATTTTCCCAGCAACCCTAAGAAGTAGTAGTATTTTTATCTTGATTTTACAATCTTGGAAACTATGGTCGAGAGAGATTTAGGGTCTTTTCTGAGGTTACATGCCTTTGGCATTGGCACTGGCACAGAGATTGTAATCATTAGGGCACTGAGCAGGAAAAGGATTTACTGGGGACGTTTGGAATCTTGATTAAGAAACAGGGAGGTGAGAAGAGCCGGAAGGTGGGGGGACCTGGAGCTGTAGCCCCTTCCCTGGGTAGTCCTGTGTGGGGGTCAGACCAAGAGGGGCACTTGGGGGGCCGGAGCCACAGCGTGACCACCTGCAGTCCCAGGAATGGCTGTGAGGAGAAATTAGTATCTTTTAACAAATACTAAGTAATCACAATGAATAGAAATTCTATTAGACCATGGAGGGGAGAGAGGTAAAGCTAAGCCCAGATTCCTCGTGGAAGAGCTCGGAGTTTATTAGGGATGAAGTCCCAAAGAATTGCAAATTCTTATTTCAAAGGTTCACCTTATCAGTGAAAGTCCCAAGAAAGGGAGGTGCAGTCAAATGGGGATAAAGGAACAAATTACAAAGGTTTGGATGGGGTACAGGGGGACCACAGGGGATAATGAGGGCAGAGCTGCTATGAGTCAGGCCTAGGCAGAGAGAAGAGTAGCCTGTACCCAGAGTGGGGGCCTTGTAGAACAGACCACCTTGAGAGGGGCAGTGACTCTTGGTTGAGAGACACAGCTCACCTAGGGTTAACCTCCTGAGAGTGAAGGGAATCAGTACTCTGCCCCCACTGCTGCCCCCTTCCCCCTGACATGCTGCCAGAAGCCACAGGGAAGGAAATCCACTGATGTGGTCCTACAGGTCAGACTCCTAGAGGGGTGGTCAGAGAGCACGGTGAAGAGTGAGGATCTACAGAGGCGAAGGAAAGAAATCTGGCACACCAGATCCGAACGTGGATTCCTCTGCACAGCCCCCATCCCGTTAGCACCCTGTTTATTCCTCCAGCCCACACTTACCACACTGCACTGCGACGTGGCCTTTCTGCCCCTGCCCCGACCCGCACCTCTGCCTGATACTTTCCATGCTCCCGGCACGCAGGTAACATCTCTAGCCTAGTCTAGGGACCTGAAGCAGAGTGGCTATTCACTTGGCTCAGCGTCTGAAGGACTGTCCTTAACGAAGGTGCTATCAAAGTTCAGGCTCACACACAGTGGCCCATCTGTTCTGTCTTTCTTGGTTCAGGCCCTCATCACCACCTGCGTGCACTGTTGCTTCCGTTTTCTAACTGAGCTCCCTTTTGCTGCTCTCTGCCCACTCTACTAGGCTCCAGACAGGGCAGATCCACGAATTCTGAGATGGGCATGCAAAAATCTTCATAATCTGGTAGATCTTAGTGCTTTTCACAAGTGCTATAACTTCATGGGCAAGAGTATCCAAAACATTTCTGTTCCGATATTCTGGCTTCTGTTTTAGACCACGTGTCTCAATTTCCTCGACTCTAAGCCAGCAGGGTCAAGAGGCACAAAATTAGCGTCAGAGCTGCGTCACGACCCTTTACAGTTCTAAGGAACATTGTAGCCAGCAGGAACTCCAGAGCAAATGGATGAGGGAACGATTGGGTGACTGGGCAAAAAATAAGCGTGGCCGGGTAGAAGGAGATTGCTGAGCACGGACCAGACTCCACTTCACAGACCAAACAGGATTTATCCCTAGGATCCACTACATCAAAAAAATATTTATTATAAAGATGGCTGTGCAAATTCCCAAAAAAGAGGGATTTTGTTGCTGATGGCATCTTCAAAGCTGAATTAAACAAGTTTCTCACTCAAGAACTGGCTGAAGGTGGCTACCCTGGAGTTGAGTCCGAGTTATACCAACCAGGACAGAAATTATTATCTTGGCCACCAGGATGCAGAATGTTCTTGGTGAGAAGGGCCGATGGGGACAGGAACTGACTGCTGTGGTTCCGAGGAAGTTTGGCTTCCTTGAGGGCAGTGCAGAGCTTTATGCTGAAAAGGTGGCCACGAGAGGTCTGTGTGCCACTGCCCAGGCAGAGCCTCTGTGTCACAAACCCCGAGGAGGCCTTGCTGTGCGGAGGGCCTGCTGTGGCGTGCTGCTGGTCATCGTGGAGAGTGGGGCCAAAGGCTGCGAGGGCATCCTGTCTGGGAACTTCATGGACAGAGGGCTAATAAATCCGTGGAGTTTGTCGATGGTCTGATGACGCACAGTGGGGGCCCTGTTCGTTGCCATGTTGACACTGCCGTGCACCATGTGCTGCTCAGGTGGGGAGTGCTGGGCATCACAGTGAAGACTGTGCTTCCCTTGGACCCCAGTGGTAAGGTAGGTCCCAAGAAGCTCCTGCCTGACCATGTGAGCACTGTGGAACCCGAAGATGAGATACTGCCCACCACCCCCGTCTCCGAATACAAGGGTGGGAAGCCAGAGCTGCCTGCCTTGCCCCAGCCAGTGCCCACAGAGTTACAGGGTCTCACTGGCAGCTGGATCTGGGGTCTGGATGTTGCTCTATAAAGACCTTTAATAAAAGCATTTTAAAAGAAAAAAATTTTTTATTACGCATTTTCCAAGCTCCTGTGCTTGATGCAAAGAAGTATAAGAAGTGTAAGACCTACCTTATGAGATTTCATAGTTTAAGTAGAAAGAAAGGGCCCAGGGCACTCTTAATGTGAATGAAATGAACCTAGGTGTATGGACAGATCTTTGAACAAATGTGATACGGTCTGTTCATTTCAAAGGGGAAGAATTATGTCCCAGAAGTTTGGAGTGCCTCACCCAAGGTCACGCCACTCAGTGGCAGAGCTGGGCCCAGAGCCCAGATCTGGAAAACCACAGTCAAGTCTTCTTGCAGCACCCAGCACCCAGGGCTGCACCCAGGGCAACACCTTGGCTGTGCTCACAGGGTACTGTTGGGGGTGTTTTTGTTTAGAGATTTTGTGTTGCCTTAACAGTGACAGTAATAACATCACACTGTTGTTTAGCATCTTGTCTTATTCTGTGTGGGTTCACATAGCATATTTGTATTAATCCAAGAACTCATCAATTCAGTCACCAATGAGTAATTCTAAAACAAAGCAGTGGAGGTAGATTTGACTAGAGGAAATAGGGAAGATTCCATGATGGTGCTGAATTGTAGGAGATGAAGGAAATTTAGGCCTAAGGAGGCCGTTGGAACCCCTGTGTGCAAAGGTAGGGGACCAGTGGTGGGGCAGTTAATGCTGCACACGCCTGGCTTCAGGATGCACTCAGCAGCTGTAAATACCAGACCTGCTCTTCTCAAGGTACCCAGTGCCCTTCCCTTGGCCACGTGTGAGGTTAATTCTTAGGCTTGGCTTGACCTGACCTATCAGCAGCATTTGACACAGATGATCACTGCCCTTGTCTTTAAAACACTGTCTTTCTCCACTTGACCTCCAGGACACATTCTTTCTTGGTTCTTCGTGCACCTGGCTGACCGCTCCTTCTTAATCTCTGTTGCCACACTTCACCCCTCATCTTCCTACACCGGAGCACCCCAGGACCACCACTGCCCTCCTCTCTGCCTGACCTCTCTACACTCACGCTCCCTCTTCTCTCCACGCTCATTCCTGAGATGATTTCATCCTGTCTCATGACTTAAAATGCCATCCATATGCTGATAACCCTGACATGTAAAAATTCTATCCCTGTTTTGTTTCACTGAACTAAAGACATGGACATCCAGCTGTCGGCTAAGTTATACTCCCCACGTGGGTAGTTCACAGGCAGCGCACACTCAGTGTGTGTAAGATGAGTTACTGACTTCCTCAACCCTCAGCCTGCTCCCCCCTCAGCCTTTCCCCTCAGGCTGGAAGCCTTGGACTAATCCTAGATCCCTTTCTTTTCCACATACTTCACAGCCAGTCCATCAGAACTGATTATCCTCTCATGCCTCTGTCATCTCTCACATGCATGACTTTAACATTCCTGTAACTGATCTCGCCACTCATCACACTCTTGCCGGAGACGTCCCGTTCAAACCCAGGGCAGCTCTGTCACCCCTCCGCTCCAGCACTCCAGCTGCTTCCCCCGAGTGAGAGCGCAGCACTGTCCGTGCCCTGGCTGCAGTGCTCAGCACGATCTGAACCCTCACAGCCTCCCTGCTCTCACTTCCTTTCACTGTTACCTGCAGACACACCGGCAGTCTTCCTGTTTCCTAAGAGCAGGGATGCTCCTGCCTCAGGGCCTTAATACTTACCATTTCCTGTGCCTAAAACACTTTCCCACCAGCTCTCTAAAGGGCTCACTGCTTGTCAGAGATGACAGCTAAGCAAAGTCTTGACACATGAAAAGGGAGCCTTTACTCACACTCCCAT